GAGAACTGAACAGAACATTGGGTTGGGGCCAAATTTAGGTAGCCTAGATATATTTTTTGATATAATGTTATTATAGTAATAGTCCCCAGGGAATCATACCACTTTGTATATTATGCCCTCATGTGACACCCTTTCACATTGTTTTGATATGGCTCTCTGACTTTCTTTGGCCAATGAGACATTAGCAGCAAATGTGATACTAACAAAAACTCGAAAAGCACTTGACTTTGGGGCTTGCTCTCATTGTGCTGTTTTTGGACCAGCCTTCATGTTGAAGAAGCATGAACTAATCTTCTGGAGACACATGGTCCAACTAAGAGCCAGCACCAACTCCAAGACTTGTGAGTCATCTAAGACCAGCATTCCAGCCAATCTATCAACTGACTGCAAATGCATAAGTGAGCCTCATTCACACCATGTAAAGCAAAAAATGACTTGCACCAGCTGAGCCCAGCCCAAATTGTTGACCTCCAAAATCATAAAAGCATAAATGAGAACATACACCATACCTTTTATTATACAGCAAGAGCTAGCTAAAATACGTGTATTTGCTTGAACAGCTGGAGATGGCACAATTGGCTTACTTGGTTGGCTGAAACATGTGCTCAATAGCAAGCTGCATTCAATGGTGTTCAGTTGACAGAAAGATTTCTCTGACATAATGTACAGGAATTCTAAAGGCTTAGGGAGATAGGAATAATGGAGTAGTTTATTATGTGTAACCTGTCCATCTTTCCTCACCCTATGGGGCCCTGAAAGTGTCCAATGAATATTCATTTCACTAAAGTATTGAGAAATGCATTAGTGAGGTAGCCCCAGCATCCTTAAATGCCTCCAGGTAGCCCAAGGATGATTGTGGGAAATGCTGCCATTGAGATGGCCTTCCTAATTTCAGTGGGAATAATGAGATCCCAGAGTGGCAATCAGAATTTTTACTCAAAGTAAAAATATATATATATATATATATATTTGGTGGTGGTTGACCCTAAGAATTAGATATATGGCTGGACTAAGCAATAGAAATACAACTTGAGTTCTCAGACCTTCTTAGTTCACAGATCTGACACTCTGGGTTGGAAAGGAAGAAGGGGACCCCTTGAGAGAGGACACTGCAACAATGCCACAAATACTGTAGATCTTCCTCCAAGCCATCCCCAAATCATTTACTAAGGTGTCTATGCACTGGGAGAAATGGAAATACCCCAGCTTTTCAGGGATTCCTAAACACCAGTCTGAAATGATACTGGTTTCGGCGATACTAATCCTTTAGGAACCCCAAATGCCACTGTGGTCCACTGGACAAATAGGGGCTTATAGTAGTCCCGCTTATCTGTGGTTTCACTTCCCTGCAGTCAACAGTGATACAAAAACATTAAATGAAAAATTTCAGAAATAACTACTTCAAAAGTGTTAAATTGTTAAACCTTTGAGGATAATGATGAAATCTCACACTGACCTGCTGCTTTTTCGTGAACCCATGCGTCCGTACCTTTGACCAGCATATCCGTGCTATATATACTCACTGCCCATTTGCTACTTAGTAGCCAGCTCAGTTATCAGATTGGCTGTCGTAGTATCTCAGTGGTTGTGTTTAAGTAACCCTTATTTCACTTAATAATGGCCCCAAAGCATAAGAGTAGTGATGCTGGAAATTAGGATATGCCAAACAGAAGTTGTAAAATGCTTTCTTTAAGTGAAAAGGTGAGTTGAGAACAATAAGATATTTTGAAAGGGAGAGGCCACATTCACATAAATTTTATTCTAATTGTTCTATTTTATTATTAGTGTTGTTAATCTCTTACTGTGCTTACTTTATAAATTAAACTTTATCATAAGTATGTATGTATGTATGAATGGATGGATGGATGGATGGTGAGGGAAAATGTAGTACAGTATACGTGTATCAGCGCTGTCTGTGGCTTCAGGCATCCACTGGATGTCTTGGAACATAATGCCCACAGTTAAGCGGGGAGAGGTGTACAGTGGCCAGGTGATAGAGTTTGGGCCTAATTCCATCTTGTTGTCATGAATCTGTAATCCATGAAGCCATTAAAGATGATAATTAGGGAGACCAGTCAGCAACATAGTTGCTTATGGTACAAATAATAGAAAATTACATGTTACATCTAACTATAACTAAAGGTATATACATGTCTGGAAGAAGAGCAGATGCTGACAGTAAAAATAAAAATACTTTTGCTTGGATGATGAGATCATAGGTGTTTTTGGTTTGTTTCTCAATTCCTCAAACTCTCCCAAATGCTATTTTTGCTTCCCTTTTAAAAGGTACTTAAAAAAAAAAAAGACTTAAAACTCATCTAGCTATTTTATTTTTAAAATGGCCATTTATATACTTTTTAGTCAATCATATTAAAGCCATAAAGGTAAGAAGATCAAGTGTAGCCATTCGCCTCAATATTATAATGAATACTAGAGGCCTGAGGCATGAAATTCATGCAAGAGCAGGCCTTCCTTCCCCCAGCTGCCGGTATCAGCTTCCCAATGGCACCTGGGATCCGGGCTTCCCTGGAAGCCCCAGCTTCATTCGCAAGGTCGTCCGGAAAGACATCCAGTCTAGGTAGCATGTTACGCTTTTATCATTATAGATGCTGTAGAATAGAACATTTATCATACTCCCCTGAAGAAGCCTGAATTTTGGGTTACTGGAACTGGGGATCCCTCTCACTATTTGGTATTCTGGAGAATAGCCCCAATCTAGGACCAAAGATGGCAGTATTTTGACCGAAACCATTATGCAACTGGGTTCCTAAGTTAAGCACTCCCAATCAAGGATTTAGCATGCTAACCACATATCTGGGGGGTGGGTGGGGGTTCAGAATAGGTGGGCTTACTTCCCCAGTGGGAGGCCTTATCTGCCTGCCCTGATAGCCATAGCATTAGGAGGTACTGCTCCTCCAGCAGGGACCCCAGACCAACCCCTGGGAAACAGCTCTGGGACCCCTCCCTTCTGAAGAGGGCAGCCAAGTGAAAGGCTTTCTAACCTCTAGGAGCCAACTCTCCTGATGAATATTAAACTTACTGATTTGGATGGGCCCTAGATGGGCACTTAGGCAAAATTAGAAGAAAAAAACAATTGAGTTTTATTCTTCAAAGGCATTCTTTGATTTTTAAGACAGGGAATGGAGGAATTTAGGTATTCTATGACTTGTCTGTTACTCATTTCACACACCTTCATTCTCATTAACTCCAAATTCTCCTTAGCCTGAGCACCAGTTCAAAAGCTTGCTTTAGGCCCTAAGACCCTGTTATACTTGCTAATATACACATTTGGATAGTTCCTGAGTCAACTAATGCTCTGAGCTTCATGGCCCGGCATAGAGATAAAATTTAACACGATGAAACTATTGTTGGTGTGCCCAGTCATTCTCCCGCTTGACATATACATTAGGATCCACAGGATTTTCATTTCTTTTCCTTCCTTCCTTCCTTCCTTCCTTCCTTCCTTCCTTCCTTCCTTCCTTCCTTCCTTCCTTCCTCCCTCCCTCCCTCTCTCCCTCTCTCTCTCTCTCTCTCTCTCTCTCTCTCTCTCTCTCTTTCTCTCTCTCTCTCTCTCTCTCTCTCGGCTTTAAAAGACCTCAATTTACTATTGCTTAGAGATACACGTACAGTATTAAAAGTAAAAAGACAGATATACCAATAATAAGTACCCAATTAAGGACAATATTTATCTCTTTGGAAAAAGAAGGGAAAGATGTTTTGTTTCTAAAGCAAGGTGGTAAATAAAAAAGTGTTCATTATATTTTTTGTATGACTGATATATTTCATAATTTAAAAACTTTTTGGTCATAAAAAAATTACATAGAAAAAATTAGATGGAGTTGCTATGGGGCAGATTCTATTTCCCAGAAATGGTTACAATATCTTCTATCCCACATGCTCTTCTTACAATCTGGCTGACACCCCTCCCATTGAGAGGTGGGGGTCTGTGTTCCTCCCCCTGAAACTGAGTGTGTTTTGGTCAAAAGAATACGGTACAGGTGACACTAGGTGACTTTCAAACTGGGCCATAAATAGTGATACAGCTTACGCTTTGTTCACTCGAAGAAGCCCAAAGTAGCCCACGGAGGAAGACCATGTAAAGAATCTAGCCCTGAGACTTCCAGGGAAGAGATGCATAGCTAGTTCTCAACTTCCCTGGTCCTGATTCTTCCAGTTTTGTTTTTTGTTTGTTTTGTTTTAATGTCTTTATTAATTATGGTATCACATAATTGTCCTCATTCCCCCATTCCCATCCCAATGTATGGTCCCCATGTATGGCCTCACGGCCCTGTTGTTCGTGGCCACTGGTTAGGCTTATATGCATGCATACAAGTTCTTTGGTTGATCTCTCTCCCCTTCTCCCCACCCTCCCTCCACAGGATTTCTAAAGTGCCAACAATCAAAGACCTTGATTAGTGGGTATCACCACCATATCCCAGAATTAGAAACTGAGCCAGTGAAAAGGTAAATTAAAAGTCATATAGAGAACCAGGAAATGAGCCTTCCTTTGGGGCTTTGACCATATGGCTACTCATCTGAAATCTTTTTAGGCACAGCATATTAGTATGTCAGAAATTTTAAATGTATATAATTGATTTCCAAGGTTAAAAACCCACAATAACCCAAAAGAATGTTTGGAAGGAAAGATGTAGTTAAAATAACAACAAAACTACCACTCAACATTATGTTACTAGAGGCCCGGTGAACAAAATTCGTGCATGTGGGGGAGTTCTTCAACCTGGCCTGAGCCCTCTTGCACTCCGGGAGCCCTTGAGGGATGTTTGACTGCCATGGATGTGGGAGAGACTCACACCACCACCACTGTGCTCGCCAGCCGTGAGCTCAGCTCAGGGCTTCTGGCTGAGTGGCACTCCCCCTGTGGAGTGCACTGACCACTGGGGGGTGGGGGTGGGGGTTGTGGTGTCAGCTCCTGCATTGGGCATCTGCCCCCTGGTGGTCAGTGCACATCATAGCAACCAGTAGTTCTGCTGTTTGGTCGATTTGCATATTAGCCTTTTATTATATAGGATTACAGATCAAATAAATGCTTTGTGATTTAGACTTCACAAAAATACTCACTGGCTTTTCTCCATGATTTGTAGTTGGCCACTCTGTGTACTTAAATGCTTCCTGTGGATTAGAATTACTTAAATGCTTTCAAGATTCCAGTAAGTATAAATGGCTTGACTCTGTAGAAAGTCCTGTCTGTGAGCTGATAGTTTCAATAGCCTTTTCCTATAGATAAAAATTACTGGCAATCTGTCCATTTCTGTAACTAAAGATTTCCATCATCTCCGCTCTGGGAAGTTTTTGGAAACTTAGGGGAAAATAATTCCCTTTGATTTTACTCTGACAGCAAGAAGGAGCCTGAGAACATGAACTGGGGTCCAGGATCCAATGTGGTCATTTTCTAAAGTGCAATAGTGCTTGCTCAGTCACAGGCTGTAGAGGTGAGAGCCAGATGAGGTGGGCTGCCTGCCGTCCTCTGAGCATACAATGGCCAGGAGCTGCCTAGCCTTGTTGTCGTCTCCTGATTAAAGTGCTGGTCATATATGGGCATTTGAAAAGTGCAAACAAGCTTTGTGGGCCAAGGGATTCTCGTTCAGAGTCCAGAGGCTTCTTGAGGATGTCCCATCAAGTCACCTCAGCTCCGGAGATCACACGTTCAAATCTGAGGAGAAAAGTCCATAAACAGGAAAATCACTTTTCTGATTAGGAAAAATAGAAATTCTCAAGAAAAAAAAAAAAAAGATTGAAGTGAGAAAATACTTCAGGATAAAAAGCTCATCTATCTGGAGTCAGCATGGTTCAAAACATCTCTTTTTAATCTTCTTACCACTGTCCTAGACTAGTCCAAGTCTTCAGTCTCTCTGTGCAGATCTATTGTAAGAGCCTTCTTCCCTCCATTCTCTGGGCTGAAGACAGCTCAGTGCTACTGCAGTGTAGTTCATGGGGCTTCCCTAGTCAGAGTCTTTTGAAGTTCCCCACTGTGCCAGATAGTTCTGTTTGTTCCTAGAGACTCAGTCTCCACACTGCTCTTTCCTGCTCATGCCCTAGGAGGATGACATTGTAGACTATGTCACTGGCTTCCATCCCATTCTTCCCTTCAGCATAGGAGAGAAAGGAGATTCAGTGGGGAGAGTGAAGTTAGGGTATGCATTCCTCTTCAACCTCCCAGACAGGTTAAGGGTCGACTTCATCCCTCTGTCAAAGGCTATAGCACCTTGTGGGTGTCCCCTGCTCTTGCTGTCCTCTCCAGGGTTCTGGTAACTACACCTTCCCTTTTCTCCTTCAGACCCAGGGATGCTTAACTGTTCCCTGCTTTTGCTAATTCCAGAGTGCTCAATATCCCTTGCTGATATCCCCTAACCGTACTCATGTCTTTGTAAATAGTAAAAACTTATAAAATTGCTCTATTACCCTTTCTAACCTTTCCTTCTGAGAACTGCTGAGGCATCATGCCCATTGAAAATAACCTAATCTCCTTTGCCTGGAATTTATGACTCATAATGCTCCCAACAGTCTTTCCTCTTATCTCACTCCTGGCTCTTTTCAACTTGGATCACATGCTTTTTCCTACTGATGATCCAGGTCTCCTTGCTTCTTGGCTGTATCTCTTACGTCTCCTCTGTTTAGATAAGAAGCTCATTAAAACAACAAACAAAAACAAACAAACAAAAACATAGAAGATCAACCAAAGGACTTGTGTGCATCCATATGGGCCTAGACAGTGGCCATGGACAACAGGGGGGTGGGGGCTTTTGTAGGGAGGGGTTTAGGATGGGAATGGGGGATGAGGACAATTATGTGATACCATAATCAATAAAAAATAAAATAAAATAAAAAACCCCAGAAACATAGAGATTGAGTCAGTTGCCAAGGGGCATACAAAAAGCTGATCTCTTTTATTTTAATTTTAACTTGGACCAATAATAACAGTTTTAGTACCTTATCTCCAATACTCTATTAATCTTGGATAACTAATGCTGTACTTATTTCACTCTTTCAATTCCTACACAGTGTATCTGATGCAAAATAGCAGAAATTTAATACTTTTGATAGTGAATGAATGAATGGCACTATACTGGGAATCACAAGACACTGTGTTTTTCTCTGATTATATCCTTAAAGAAAGTAATTTAATATCCCTTAGCCTTAACATGTCACTACCTCTAAAACGAGGAAGTCAGGTCTATAAACTCTCACAAACCACAGCTTGATGACTAGAATAAATCTTTTTTAAAGAAAGCAAAATATTTACCTTTGGTATCATTATCAGCTACTACAGTTTACTGGTTGACAGCGTGGTTACTTGTATTAGAGCAAGAAGCCCTGGGCCCCATAGCCAAGCGAGTAAGATTAGCTCAAGAAGAATTTACACAAATGGAAAGGGCTGTGTGCCATAGACAAGGGCTCAGGTGGCATGCATTCTAGCTCCAGTTCTACCACTCAGTTATAAGATGACCTTGTGCAAGTCACCTCATGTTGTACATCCTTGCAGTATGTATTCACCCCTTCCAGGTTGGCTGGGCTAGTAATCTTTGAAAGGCAACTAAGACATTGGTAAGTATTATTGAAAGGGCATATACCAAGTGGCCAGATAATTATGATCTCTGAACGCATAATAATCTGGCCACTCAGTGTATATCCTACATAATATAAGGCTAATATGCAAATTGTCCCCTTGACCAGAAGTTCGACCAGCAGGCAGGCCAGCCAACTGCCCATGTCCTCTTCTCTTGGCCAGGTTGGCCAGACCCCACCCATGCACAAATTCATGCACCAGGTCTCAAAAAAAAAAAAAAAAAAAAAAAAAAAAAAATATATATATATATATATATATATATATATATATGTAGTAATATGCAAATTGTCATGCCAACACACAAGATAGCCACCCCCATTTAGTCAAAGATGGCTGTCTCCATATGGACACAAGATAGCTGCCATAAGATGGCCGGCAGGGGAGGGCAGTTGTGGGTGACCAGGTCAGCAGAGGAGGGCAGTTGAGGGCAAGCAGGCCTGCAAGGGAGGACAGTTAGGAGGAACCCAGGCCTGCAGGGGAGGGCAGTTGGGGGTGACCAGGCTGCCAGGGGAGGGCAGTTAGGGGTGACCAGGACTTCAGGGGAGGGCAGTTAGGGGTAATCGGGCAGGCAGAGGAGCAGTTAGGCATTTATCAGACTGGCAGGGGAGTGGATAGGGGGTGATCAGGCTGACAGGCAGAAGTGGTTAGGGGCAATCAGGTAGGCAGGCAGGCAGTTAAGCGGTTGGGAGACAGCAGTCCTGGATTGTGAGAGGATCCCAGATTAGAGAGGGTGCAGGCTGGGCTGGGGGACACCCCTACCCCCTGTGCACACTGAGTGGCCTGATTATTATGTGTTCAGATATCATAATAATCTGGCCACTCAGTGTATAGTGTTTCCCTCCACAAAGTTGACAAGGATCCAATGAAGAGTTCTATGCAATGCACGCGACTACTGGGATATAGAGAGGTAAGAGGGGGTGGTTAAAAGAACTTCAGAAAGTTAGTTCTTCATCTAGCAAACATCCCTGTGTAATTAAAAGTGATACTTTGGGACAGCTAAAAATGCATTAAAACACAGAGAAATTCAGGAAACAAAAGAAGAAAATAATACAAGGTTCCATAATATAAAGATAGTAATTATGGACCTTTTAATGTTTTTATTTTAAGTTTTCGGAAGAAAGCGTTATAGTGGGTATAGTAAAACCACCTTTTTAAAATATAGCATTCATAATATAGTACATTTTCATATCTTATTTTTTCTTTTTATTATATAGAAAACATTTTCCATATTATTAATTTCTCAGAAACAGTATTTTAAATGGTAACATATACTTACTTAGTAGAGGTTCCAGTTTCCCCCTGTTATATCAAGTTAGGGTAGACTAGTTTTGGTGCAATAACAAACAACTCCAATATAATAAACAAAGATATATTTTTGCTTATATTCCATGTCCATTGCAAGTCATCAGGGTGCTCTGTTATTTGTAGTTAACTACTCAGAGACCTAGGCTGATATAGTAATCACTAGCTCAAGTGTTGTTGGTTATCATATCACATGGAAAAAGAAAATATGGCAAAGCAAACTCTAGTTTTTATATCTTTTATACATAAGTGTGTGTTACATCACTTATGCTTACATTTACTTGGCCAAAGCAAGTCACATGACCATACCTAATTTACCAGTTAATTACAGAGAAGTGCAAACCCATAATGTATACAAAAATAAGACATCCAGGAAATGTGTGAAATAATACTAATGACCATCACATCCATGACAGACAAAGGTGAGAATAAGCTATTTCTTCAGTCAGACTATCTGAGTCTTTTTCTCTTATAATAACAAAGTGAAGGTCTTGAAGGCCTTTCTAAAAGTCTGGATTTCCACAAGAATAAAAACAGGCAACACCTTTCTCAGCGTTGCCCAGAAAGTTATGGGCAGAGCCATGGAGTGGAAAACCAGAGCCTCTGAGCCCTGCTGGGCACTCCCACAATAATCACATTTCACTTCAGTCTCTGGTCACTGAAGCAAAACCTACAAGCTCTTCCCTGCTAAAGTAGAAAGGGAAAATATTTATCTGAATAATCTCTTTGTATTATAGAAGTAAGGGCGATGGACATGCTTGGGACAAGTCCCAAAACTCCATCTCCCAAGATTATGCTAGGTAAGGACATGAGAGCCCAGGATGGCTCTTGAACAGCTGGAACTCAACACTGTCCCAACATGGTAGTTTGGGGGTGAGGCAGAGCTGTAATGGCAGAGAATGGGTATGGGAGAGTGAGAGCCTTGAGCTAGCTGAGCCCCATCCTAGTGGGGATCTCTCCTTAGATAGCTCAGGTAGGAGTAGGAGTGGCATTAGACCATTTAACACAGGAACAAGTACATTGACTATGGGAGAAAGTACAGCCCAGGGAGAACCTCGAGGTCAGGGTCAGCAAACTTTTTCTGTAAAGGGCTAGATTGTAAAAATTTTAGAATACATATCCCATAAAGTCCCTATTGGAATTCTTAAACTCTGCTGTCAAGCCAGTGGAAGGGGTGTAAGTGCTGGGTGGAGGAAGGGCAATATAGAAGCAATGAGCATGGCTCTGTTTCAATAAGATTTTGTTTATAAAAACTATTGGCCCTGGTTATAGTTGGTACATAAAATGAATAGAGTGGTTCTCATTTAATAGATGCCTAATGAAAGTACACTTTCTAAGGGAAGAGGAAGAGCCTCACCTGCTTTCTAGAAATTTATGTTAGTACTTTGGGAAATGCAGATGTTACTCCTATAAGCTTTTACCCAACATAAATGCTGTAATTAATACACTTATTTTCTTTTAATAAATATATGGCATTTTAATAAATACAGGACATTAATGTTTATAACCTGGTCCTGAGAACCCAGTTTTCCTAAATCCAATACTTGTCTTCTCAGGATAAGAACAAAAACAATTTAAAAGTAAATGACAGCTCTGGCCAATGTGGCTCAGTTAGTTGGAGTGGCATCTTGTACACCAAAAGGTAGCGTATTTGACTCCTGGTCAGGGCAAATACCCAGGTTGTGGATTTGATCTCTGGTTGGGGTAAATGCAAGAGGCAACTGATTAATATTTCTCTCTCACACTGATGTTTCTCTCTTTCTCCCTCTCTCAAAACTTAGTCT